TCGCGTTTTACTATATGTAAACAACTTCATTTAAATAAACAAGCCACGACACTTTAAACTGCACGACTATCTGTCGAAACGAAATCGTGGTACATGGTTTTGGACTTAGTTCAAAGGTTAACATTATGGATATCTTCTTTCTTAACGAAATTATGTATGTTTTTCCGGCCACACAAAATATTTGAGTAAATGTACTGTGATACCAGTACCCTTAAACTTTTATCTGAGAGAAACTCGATAACCTAAACGGTACACATAACGAATCGCTCGTTTTCCAACACAAATATGGTTTGTATATCTGCTGCTTTACTCCACATGCGAATCCCGTAGTTCAAAGTAGTTCAGCAAAGCATTTCGTGCGAATAGGTAATAAATAAACGTGTCAACAAAAACAAAATCAAAACAACTCGCGAAAACAAACAAAAACAAATGTTACAAATGAGAAATGGCAACGCAAAAAACAAAATCGGCTGACTATAATAGTTGTCCCAAAAGTACTTAACTACACCACTGGTTGACATTTGTTAACCCTGACAAGGTATCGTCTAGGGAGGCTTCGTGAAATTCATTCATTTAGTTTATTTTGTCCATAAACCGGGTCACGTCTCTGTGGGCTGCTGGCTGAAATTGATTGAGAAGACAGGATAGATGATGAGTTTTTACACATTCTTTTGTTTACGCCAGAATGTTATTATATACCATCGAGTATATAACCAGAAATAGAGACGAAATGTCATTTAATTTGTTTGAAAACTATTCTGCCGTATCATTACGGTGACAACTGCGTTCCGATTGGCTAGCTCGAATTCGAAACAATTGCCAAGTGTCATCAATTGTTTCGCTTCAAATTGATCAGTTTAACTTGAACCTTGCTATAATGGACGAAAATTGAAAAATTACATATTTAATTACCGGTGAAATGTGATTCCGTTTGTTTTGTAATTAGATGTTTGCTGTTTTTCTCCCACCGAATGGAACAGCCCCTCATTATTAGAGATATTATCTGTATTACAATAAATACAGAATATTTTTGGAATATACGGACACGTACAAACAGGTCAGTTGTTGGTGCTGTACTATTTCAGCTTTCTAATTTGTGATTTCAGCGCAAACTAGAGTTGATATTTAAAAGTGATATAAGGCCCATTTGCCCGATGAATTGCCAAGGTTGGATGGCCTTTATTTTGTCTCTATTTCTGGTTATAAACTCGTCATGTACTTATTATCACAGCAATAGTAGAAGAATTAGTAAAATATATTAACCTAAACTTTAAGTAGTACATTACAAATGAAAGTAATTTTTCGGATGTTATAATAATAATAATTTGTTACCAACATTTTCACTTAGAAGGTTTAGGTTAGTATACAGAATACAACGACACAACATAACATAATATTTATTTAATATATATAAAACGTATTTGATTTGCTCAACCCAGTACTTCTAAAGTACAATCAAATCTGACTGCAACTATTTTTAGCATGCTGTTGTGGTTACTTCTGACACGAGTCATAAGCGATACTATTTCTTCCGCATTATCCCTTGAAAACCGTTTACTTGCGCCCCTGCGGACATGCCTGATGCACTCCATGGCACCCGCGACACAGGGTTTCCCTAGTGCGGGGCTATATTGAGTGTGTGAGTTATTGTTATTATTACTGTACCATCTTGGCAGTCCCAACAGCATCCTGAAAGTGAAAGAAAGAAGTTTATATTGAACGCGCACGGCGTTGTACGCTCGTTTCGTGTACTTAACTCACAGTGATTGACTGTAAGTTTTGAATAAAGTATTTTTAACATCGATGGAGCATCTCGTGGACCTGCGGACCAGTATACAGCATCTCACTGACAACGCCCTACGCTCCCTCTCTATATCTTGGCCATGACTGAAATCACAGACCACATTAGGTTGAAATCATCAGTTAGTATGTATGTACTAATAACGTAAACACTCATAGCCCCGCACTAAGGAAACCCTGTATTGCGGGTGCCATGGACACACACTTAAACAACCCCAAATTACACCCAAACTCACGAACCTGGGACCTCTGCGTGGTAGCCAGGCGTGGTACATGTTCGGCCAGGAAGGCAGTTAAATTAAAGGAGTTTGTATGGAAATATTGATGAATGTAAGTGAAGCAATAGAGGTTTTCGGTGGGTGCCCCTATGTGTACTTTATCGTAAAAATAACAATGTTTTGATATTTCTTATTAGCTCTTTCATGCATAATATAGTCAAAGATTTTTTTGTATTTAGAGTTTTGTCGGATTCTTAGATTGAAATAAAATTATGTGGGGACTTCTGCGTGACAGATGATGGTAACCCTTCGCCCATGGAGGCAGCAAAATTTAAAAATTTCCTTTACATTAAATTTTATTATTGAATCAATTTTATAATTTTACTTCTGAGTGTAATATACCTACATAACAATAAAGTGATTTATGAAAATTTGCACATATTTATGTGGCTTACAACATATTAAGTAAGAGTGAATTTTTATCCAAAGCTTTTCATTTCCACTTACTTTGCCGTTTAAGGTAGAAAACCCGTATGCCCCTAACAGTTGCTTTGAGTGCCTGAACCATTGCGACGTAACAAAATTACGGGGGCCCCTCGGCAAAATGTTTACATTCAGTCTTCTAAAGAATTAAGTTTGTCGTTGTCTTTGTTATCTTTAGTTACCTTTCACATTACCTTTTTGTGAAAATACTGATTTCCACAAGACTAAATATAGGAAACGTGTGACTGAAATTATTAGACCGCTTGCTTGTTGCCGATCTACAAGATTAAATATGGAAGATATATTTAGTAACAGTAGAGCTCCTTGTGAAAGAGTTCGTCCTGGGAACTACTGCCACCTTAACTATGTCTGTCGCCAAGCAGTAATGCTTGCATTACTGCGTTCCGGTTATGAACCGTAAGGGTGCTGGTGAAATTACAGGCACATGCGACTTGTCAACTTATACCTCAGGGTGGCGGGCGTAGTGGCAGTGCCACTCATATCTTTATGATTTAAAGCACTGAGTGGTACAGGAACCGTTATGGACAGGGGTGTCACTTACCACATTTTCTTCCCGTCTGAAGTGTATATATATATATATATATATATATATATATATATATATATCGATGGTCGTCATTAAAATGATTTTAGCGCTACCTAGCATTAATAGTAGAACGAACACCAAGCACTGGGGAGGCGGCCATCTTTAGTGGGTTGTCACCATTGGGTCGTGGTGACGTGCGCACGACGCACGTTGGTGGACGATATTTTTAAATCTTAATCAATTGTAGCTATCCTTTATTGTTTTCTACAGTTAGTGATTCTAAAATTAGGAATAATAAGAGAAGTAATTAAGATAACCCGTATAACATGGAGATATCATGTACTCGGTCAATAATATACGCGTAGTGAGCAAAAAACATGGAAAACCACTTGATAGCAGCACGAGTACCTTCATATATACATATGACATAAGATGATAAAAACTTCTTACATGTCCTATTTATTCTCCTTTTTGGTGATTCGTCACCGCTCAGGCGAGGGTTTGGGCCACGATCCGCCACGCTGGCCCGGTACTGGTTGGGGACTTTTCCGAGAGTTGTGAATCTTTTTCGACGTGCAGGTTTCGTAACAATGTTTTCCTTGACCGAAAAGCTCATGACACATTTCAAATAAAATTTCGACAATAAATTCCGAGAAACTCAGAGGTGAGAGCCCGGACTCGAACCCACTACCCTCTGCTTGAGAGGCTGTAGGTCAAACCATTAGGCTACCATAATCATAATCATAATTCATTTATTTGTGAAAACGCAGGTTATTTGGAAGTTGACATGTACAAAATATAGTTTCGCTGTGTCCGGCCAAACACAAGAAATACAAAGGTATTGAAAGTGTTATTAATTATACATATATTAGCGTGCACACATCGATTTAATAAGTCAGTCAGCAATTTAGACGAAATTATAGTTATATAAGACAATTTCAATTATAATAATTTGAATGTAAAAATATAATTAAATGCTCGCAATTAAACGTCATAACAATAAAACTAGTAACGTCAAAAAAAGATATACAAATGTCAAAAATCTGTCAATGAAGTTAGGGATTTGTCATTTGAAAATTCGGACACTGTAGTAGTGTATAGTATATTAGTCAAAAATTGTTTAATAGTTTAAAATAACATTAGGTTATCACGACTTCCTAATACGTAACATATGTGATAATAATGTCTTACTTCTAGAGTCTAAATATGAGGAATATAGGTGTTACGTAGATAACAACGTATTGCTTGTGTCCACTCTACAAGGCTAAATATGGACATTGTGTTACATGAGATGATATTAAAATCTTAATGGATTTTCATTAAAAGTCTTAACATGGAGATGCGTGGCATAGATGATAATTACGACTTATATGTCCTGTTTGCGATTCTAAATATGTAGGAAATGTGACATAGACAAAAACAAAGTCTTGCTTGACCCCACTGTACAGGGTTAAATATGAAGATTGTGTAATATAGGTATTTATATTTTTTTAATAATATCAAGTGACGGGACTAACATGTCGTGCTTCTGATGGTAAGCTGCACGCCTGACCATAACAACTGCAGTGCTTCTAAGAGCTTTAAATCGCAAAGATCTGAGGGGCATTGCCACTGCACCCTTCACCCTGAGACTTAAGTTGACAAATCCCATGCGCCTGTAATTTCACCAGGACCATTACCCTTCAAAACCGGAACGCAGTAATGCTAACATTACTGCTTGGCGACAGAAATAGGTAAGGTAGCAGTACTTCCCTGGACGAACCCTTTCATAAGGAGCTCTACTGCTGCTAAATATTACATAACAACATCTTACTTCTCCTGTTTGCAAGTCTAAATATGAAGGTTATATGTATAAATATAGATAATTACAACGTCTTGCTTGTACCCACACTACAAGGCTAAATATGGAGAATGTGTGACATAGATTACAACGACGTCTCGCTTATTTTCAGATCGAAGGCAAACCGATAATACAGCAGCGTATTCTTCCCAGTCCGGCTGTGTCAATCGATATACCCCACCCAGCACGCACCCCACCACCTCTCGATGAGAACAACAACATCATTTTCAGCCCTTGGAAGGCTTTTGGACCTTTTGTTGATACTATACAGGTATGTTTATCAAAATATATAATTTGCTAATGTGTTTTCCAGTTGATTTTATAATTTTAAAGCAATTTCAATTCTAACATTACAGCGCGTAAAGCGAACAAAAATTCTTCCGTTTTTGTGAATCTTCGTTAGCGAGGGTTATCACTAGCAGACATACACAAATGTACGCAACTTAGAAATGAAAGTCATAGGTTTTCTCAGGGGCTAGCACTGCTATAATACAGAATTGTGCAGTAATTTGCAGTCACAATAGCTAAAAATTTTCTGATGAAAAATCCCAAACAGATATAAGACTGCAGTACTAATTAATGATTTAATTTATTCTAATTTATATTATTAATTAATAATAAATTTAACTTAATAAAAATTCATATTGTCAAAATAAAATAATTTGTAAAACATAATGTAACGTAAATTGGAATGTTTCTTTGTAAAATAAAAAGTAAGGTATTTAAATAATAACTTTTGTAACTATAGTGAAAAATAAGGTGGTTTTCACCTTAGCCAACCGTGACCATGGGACCTGTAACCGAAACATTGGTTTGTTTGAAAAAACAAAAAAAAACCTTATAACCACAGTAGAGCCAAACGTTATTATGGAAGGTCTTATATATAACTAATGATACCATTAGCGCTAAAAAGGATTGCCCTTGGCGCCTAAATATTTGTTAGGACGAGACCTTTTCTATAATCTCTATCCTCACTGATCTCCAGCGCAAAAGAAGTTTCCAAATTGGAGAAAACTCTATAATAGACTTTTATGAGCTTATAATAATAATGCCTATACATGAAGCACCCATATGTAACATGCAAGAGCCATGCCACACAGGCGCTGCCGATGCGTTACGTCGTCGCAAGCTTATGATTTCAACGCACTACAACTATTCCCACACGAGCAATGCGGAGTCGCAACGTAAAGCTGCTACTCACGCATCGTAGCACCCCGCTCCACTTCGTCTCCAGGGGGCCTACTATGTGCTCTTAGAGCAATCCTATTTAAGCCTGTAAGTTGGATTGCCTGTCGAATTCGTACTATGACCTGACAAAAACAATTCACTGTCCATGCAGTTTATGTTCTCCATTCGAAATCCGTTCACCTTTTCTTTCATAGCAAAATCTTATCATGACGTGCCATTTGCAAATGGCGGTCTCATTTGCAAAAATAAACAGTTAAAAAAGTTACTCCGTGACTAACTTTTTTTAGACTTTCTTACATTTTTACGAAATTTCGTTTAAATTTTATCATTTTTTCAGTTTCATAATTATTTGTTATCTTTATAAGCTGTATAGCCAATTGTCAATAAATAAATAATATTAATTAATGAGCGTTTTTTGAAAATTTTAGTTGGAGTTCCCAATCTTTAAAGTATTGTTGATAAATTATTGATATGAATGTTATTGCAATTTTTAAATGGAATTTTAATCATTTCAATAATTTTATTGACCGAAAATCGTAAAATAACTTTTAAATAATGCCAAATTTGACTTTAATGCAATCAATGAATATGTACGAATACAAGATACGTTCCAATTATGTTACCAAATTACAAACTCACCTTATTCATTTCAATGATAATGACAAGACATGACATGTAATTTTATCGTACGACAAATTGTAAAGTATGATTGAAAAGTTGCCGATATTACAAAACAACGTAATAAGCATAATGAATAATAAAATTAATAAAAAATATAATTATTCTCATTTTGAACACAATCTGTTAATAGTGCTTGACTGCTCCCAGGATGGTACGTCTATCTATTTGTTTCATATGATTTACTAAATCATATGAAACATGTAGTTCATCTCGATCTTGTTAAATGTCAGCTAGCCAGGCAGCGAAAATAATTTACGTTTAAAAAGTAAAACTCATCATCCTGTCAGTACCATTCCCGTTCAACTTTGTATAGACCATGATACGAATTTAAGGAATTCAGTTTTACTACGTCAAGTGAACTGGAACCATTGCATGGAACCTAGCTGGCTGCTTATAAGCTCATAGTAGGCCCCCAGACCCCTTATCCGATCCAAGTGCGTTCCGTCACCGCGCGCCGTTTCAGCGCACCATGTGGCCAGTTGTCCTAATTTATAATTGTAGTATAACGCCGCGTCACCGGTTAGGCCTCGCAATTCCGACGCAACGCCTGGCGTGACATCGCTCTTAAAACGTTGTTGCAGAACTAATAACACCACCTATTACAATGAAAGCATTTTGTATTCACTGTGGATATAAAAATAGTAGATTGTACGACAAGTGCATAAAATGCGTCATAGTACCCGAGACAAGTATATCCACCCGAGCCTCAGGCAAAGGTGAAATGGGTTTTCTGAACGAGTTATACAGTCTGCTTTTCACTTCGAATGCGCGGAAATTAAACAGCAATATTACAAATAAACGATTACTTAATTAAAATTTAATGTAAAATTACAACAATTAGACATATTTAATGTGATGGTTTTTTATTTTATGCACTAGAGCATAAAATTATATTTTATGCACTAGAGCCATTGACTTACAATTATATGGACGTCGGGTCCGAGCTAAAAAGTGTCCGCACTTGTAAGGCGCTAAAATCGTATACAGAGCGCCAAACTCCGCTTTAGTCTTCATTTGTTCGACTGACAACATGATGTTGCGATGACATTACAATTTAAATTTCGAAAAGGTTGACTTGGGACATTTTTTTCGTGGTTTTTGTATTAGACCCGTCGTCCATTTATTTGTAAGTCAATGACTAGAGCATAAAATTATATTTTATGCACTAGAGCATAAAATCCTAATTTATGCAGCCTACATACAGCATAAATACGAACTTTAGAAATGTATAAATAGAATAGAATAGAATAAGAAGAAATGAGAAGTGAAAAGAAAATTTACAAAAGAATTTTTTTCTGCAGGACGGTGAAATGCTGCCAAGTCAAGACAGCGTAATGCTTCCTACTCCAAGGAACCACGAGCTCTCCTTGGATGATGATGTCACAGATCCCATACCTACTGCAGAAACATCGAATAAGGTTTCTACATAGTACATTCTAAACCTCTACAATCTACGTTAAGGCTTGTACATACGACGCACTATAAGTTTCCGGAACTGGCCACTTACATAAACAATATTTAAAAAGTAATTACAACATTTGAAAATGAAACACTTATTTATTACTTATTTTATTTATTTATTATGTTTCATCTGACTGTCACTTGTTTTTACATTGTGGCGTCATTTTAGAAAATGGTTGTCTACATCACCATGGACTTAATTCGCGAAAATTTTCGTAGTATGATTTTCTACGACTTTAAGTGTTAGTTAACAGCTCAGCGGAGCTTTGCTTGGCTTCAAATTGCTTTTAGCGACGAAGCACCATGCAAGACGACTATTTATAGCTAATTTGCAGAATTCAAACGTGGTCGTGTGAATCTCAGTGACGAATTTTGTGATGGTCGCCCGTCCACTGCTGTGAGCAACAAAAACATCGACGCTGTGCGCTGTATGATCAAAACAGACAGGCATATGACACACCATGAGATTCGGCCATCTTTAGGCATAGGCATGAGTTAAATACAATCAATACTACACAAACATTTGGGTGTCAAAATGCTGTACTCTCGAGGGATCCTACACAATTTCAGTGAGGCTCAAAAAACGGATCGCGTCACTTGGTGCAATGCCATGCTTACCAGATTGAACGAAGGGGCGTCAAATTTGGTGTGGGACATAGTAACAAGTGACGAAACATGGCTTTATAGTTACGATCCTAAAACAAAGCAGCAATCGAGCGTATGGGTCTTTCGAGATGAGCCGAAACCAACCAAAGTGGCGCGCGTGCAAAATGCCGCTAAGCGGATGATTGCTTCTTTTTTTATTAAAACTGGACACGTGGCTACTGTTGCTTTGGAGAATCGTTGTACCATGAATAGTGATTAGTACATGACCATTAGTTTGCCGGAAGTTATTGACAAAACTCCGTAAAAATAACCGTAAACGCCGTATCATCTTGCACCACAATAATGCCAGTTCTCACACAGCCAGACAGACAAATTAATTTTTGATGGTGAACAACGTTGACCTTATGAGTCACCCCGCGTACAGTCCCGACCTGGCACCTTGTGAGTTTTATTTATTTCCAAAAATTAAGAACCAGTTACGCGGTCAACAATTTTCATCACCTGAAGAGGCTGTCGAAGAATATGAAAAATATGTTTCAGAAATTGTCACGGAGTAGTGGCATAAATGTTTTCAAAATTGGTTCATTTGTATGAAAAAGTACATTAACGCTAACGGAGAATATGTTGAGAAACAATAAATTCATTTCTTGCCATTTATAGTATTTTTTTCGTATTCAGTCCGGAAACTTATAGTGCGCCCCACGTATAGACTATATAGATACCTGTTGACGTCTAGGATTTTTACATTTTTACAGAACTATCTGAATGTATTTACCGCTTTTCTCGCGTAATACACACACACACACACACACACACACACACACACACACACACACAC